AATTATATTTTCTTTACATTGTTACAGTACCATTAGAAAGATATATTAAAGGTAAGTTGAATCATATAAAACTTCCAAATAAATTCTTTAAAAATATTTTAATGAGATCTTGCTTTCATGAACTCAATATTTTAACAACAGATTTTTATGCTTGAAATAGCTATAACATTTCCTGATCATGACATTTTAATGATGGTATAATAGGTGTTAATTATAAAGAGTGAGAAAAGTTGTTTGCACAAGTAGGTGGAAATGATTTTAAACATTTACTTTTATAACCAAATATTTATATCAGTTAAAATGGTATTTAAAATATATCAGCTCTACTTGTCTTTCACTAATTTATCTTTTTATTTTGTTGGTTCTAAATAGATTTCAGCAAATCAATTCAACATAATGATAAAGTTACATTTGAAGAATGCCCATGCATTATTAGAACAGCCAATCTGTAGCTGACATGGCTACCATTAAATAACAAATCAATGTTTGTGGAATAGTATTATCTGATATTTACATTGATAAAGCTCTGGGTTATTAGCTAAAACTATTCCCACTAGAAATTCTGGTCCAACTGCCTTACTCTCCCAAGCCCTTAACAAGCTTCTTAAGACCAGAGGCTAGCTGACTATGAACTCAACAACTTGATGTCACACTACTTGCTTCTTTTGACAAGTGATGAATATATCATGGTATATCTATAACCATTTGTGGTACACTAGTTGGAAAACTCTGCTCTTAGCTTGTTTCAATTTTCTTCTAGAATTTATTATCACCTGACTTAAGTACATACTTGCTTACTGATAGCATATATACTGATACGGGTACTTGTTTATTTGTTTAGGATATACCTCACTAAAATGTAGTATTCACAAAAGCAGGACCTTTGTGTTTTTTGCTTGTTGCTGTATTCTCAGTGCCTCACAAATAATTGCCATGCTCTAAGCACTCATTATATGTTTACTGGATAAATGACTAAACTCTAACTTCCATGAGGGCAGGTTTTACTTCCCTTCTCTCTTCAACACCTACCCCTATGGTTAGCCCATTGTAAGCAAAGTCTCGGTACTTGGCTCATTGTAAGTACTGAAAAGGTAAGCAGAGACCTAGATTATAAAGGTGGTTGTGGCACTTGATAGAGATTTTTAGACTGTTTCTTAAAAGCAAAGAGGAGCCACTGACAGAGTATAATTAGAAAGAAATATGATTAGATTTCATTTAGGAAATAAAGTTCTTGCTTTCTATTTTTCTTAGTAATGGCATCTCCATTATCCTACTCATCCAGTCTTAAACTCTTAAAGTGATATAATGCTTTTTTCTTCTTCTTTATTCCTAATAATTTGTTAAAACCTGACAATTTAATTTCAGCAAGATATATCTATCTCACCCTTTATTTTCCATTAAAATTTGGACGTTGGTTAATCAGAAAATGGGCAATTGTAGCTGCTAAGCTTGTATCACTGTCTTTAGTATATTCTCCATCTAAGTCACTATATGCCTTATAGCCAATTTATTGTGCAAAGTTGGTCATCTCATTTATATAAGCAAAGGCCTCTTTGATTGAAGATAAATTCCTAGTTTTTTATTTGAAAAAAGTAAAGATTTCCCCCTTCATTTTTATAAAAGTATTCAAATTTAAATAAATGTTGCAAAATTACTACAAAATAATTTTGAACTAACATATATCCTTCACCCAAATTTATCAACAGTAAAAGGTTGTCATATTTGTTTCATCGTTCTTTCTATAGGTATTTCTGAATAAATTACAATCTCTTTGCCATTTGAACCATAAAGTATTTTATTATGTATTTTTAAGATTGAGGACTATCTCATATATAATCAAAGTAAAATGATTAAAATTAGGATATTTACTATTGGTGCAAAAGTAACTGCAGTTTATCATAAATAAAAGGCCTATACGTCAGATATTATAACTTTTATTTTTATTTCTCTACTTGTCTCAATAATATCCTTTATGGATGTCTTTCTCAGTTCACTATCCAATTCTATATAATACATTGCATTTAGTAGTCATGTCCTTTTAATCACCTCTAGTCTGAAACAGTTCCTTAGCTTTTCTTTGGCTCTCATCACAGAGTCATTTTATGAAAAGTACAGAAAAGATATTTTGTAGAATTTTCTTTAATTTGTGTTTGTCTTTGTTTCCCCGTAATTACATTCAATTATGCATTTTTGTCTGGAATGCCAAATAAGTAATATTATGCACTTCTTAGTACATCACATTATGAGGCTTATCATGTTAATGGTGATTTTAGCCTTGATCACTTGGTTGAGCTTATATCCACCAGATTTATTCACTATAAATCATTTTTTATTCACTGTAATTAAAAAACTATGGTAGACTGCAAAAGTTGCCTCCAATGCTTCTCATTTGTGTGTGTGTTCCTCCTGCAATGTGACTTCCCATTTTTTTCCCATTGAGACATAGGCTTTATGAGCTATGGTTGGTCCATATGACTTCCTTGGGCTAATGAGACATTGGCAAATATGTGTCAGCAGAACCTTGAAAAGTGTCCCACACTGGAGCCTGCACTCCCATATTGCTTTTTAGAATCCTGCAACTACCATTTCTGCTAGCTCATTGAAGGAAAGAAGACAGGCCACATTGAATAAACCTGAGTCCCACCTCTGGCTAATAAACTAGCCAAGCACCAGACAGGCGAGTGAGGTTATCCTAGACCTCTAAACCAAACTGAGCTAGCCAGGGCAGAAAACATCCCAGAAAACACACAGAGGCTTGAGAAATTTAAATGTTTGTTGTTTTGGACCAGTAAGTCTTATGATGCAGCAAAATCTAATACTTCCTAGAGAGAACTTTGTGACTATGTCAATATCCAAACAATCATGGGGAAAAGAGGAATCATATAACTTTTATCAACTAGATTTATAATTTTTGCTTAAGAAATAGTACTACAAAGATTGCAAAATGACATTGGTCCTTTTTTATAGAGAAGAAGAAAGGAAGGACGGGGACTTATTTGTTTTTCAAGAATACATGACTAGAAAGTATTAGCCCCTCAATCTTTTACCTGTTGACATTTCTCAGCATGGCATTGCAGAAGTTCTGATGGCAGAACTGGAACTCACTAGAGGGAGCAGTAGAGAGAAATTCAAGTGTCCCTGATATGAGTGGGGCTGTGTACTCACACATGCACAGTAGCATCTCTGATAGATGTTCCATAATTGATGGTGGGGTAGGGAGGACAATGTGGGAGGAGATAGTAATATAGTTATTATCACATAAATTTAAATGGTAATTGAATCATGAAAAGATATAAAGATAATATCTCTAGAAATTGTCTTTCATGAGTATAATCAAGAATGTCATTGACATAGTAGAGTATAATTAATAGTATCATATGTTTGTAAAATGTGGCTCAATATTTTTGAAGTGGCTGTCATATCCTCTCCCAATTCTGCCAAAAAAACCCATAAGACACGCGAAGTGACACTATGAGAAAAAAAAAAAACCCTGCCACCCCTTCTTACAAATAGGAAAACTGAGAATGAAGGACTAAAACTAACCAAGACACAACCATGAATAAATGGCCAAGCGGCACGTTAACTCAGCGATCCCAATTTCCTGGAAGAGTTCCTCCCACATGGCAGTGGAGGATAGGGCACAAGACTTCCAGATGTTAATAATGTCTGGGTCTTAAATTGGTGCCTGGTGCCAGGCATTGTTCTAAAATTCTTTCATATATTTTCATTTAATATCATGGATTTTCTGCTACACTAATATTAAACTTAGACATGCAAGCGTTCAGTTACTTCCAGGTGAGTGCGTATTAAATACTATACCTTCCTGAGTGAGACAGAAATTGTAAGCCCCACTTTCTTCTTGACCTCTGTCTGAAGTAATATTAAGAGCACATCGAAGCGCGACAGGCCCCCCAGTTCTCTCACAGTGCGTACGGTGGCAGTAGCCGTCGCCAACCAGAGCACTAGGATACTGTCGGGATGTATGAACTGTGACGGACAAGAGGTCAAACTCTGTCCTTTCTGGCCAAGCGCGCCGAAACCTCAAGTTCCCCACAGTGTTTCTCCCCTGGAGAGCCGACGGCAAGGGTGCGGTTGCTGGCTCTTTCCCCGAGGGCATCTGCTGATGCTCCAGCTCCCCTTCAAGGGGCTCGCTGGTGCATTGGCGAAGCAGGCGCACGAAAGCCTGCTTGGGCGCTGCGGAGCTCCAAGGTGGCCAGGGGTCGCCAGGCGCCCTCCGGGGAGAGGAGCCCACCCCACGGTTGCTCTTGGGGGCCGAGCCTGCCAAGTATCGCGGGACTTGTGCACATCGCAGGAGCGGCGGCTCCAGGACCAGCTGGAGCGCGCTCGGTGCGCACCGCCCCAGCCCGGGGAGGAGCGGGAGCAGGGAAGGAGGAGGGCTGGGGGTGCTGGTTACGTAAATGATACTAGCCCAGTGAGAGGCTTCCAGGCTGGGGCTACGAGAGGGGGA